AAAAAATTAGCCGGGCGTGGTAGCGCGCACCTGTAGTTCCAGCTACTTGGAAGGCTGAGGCGGAAGGATTGCCGGAGCCCAGTAGGTCGAGGCTGCCACTGCACTCCAGTCTGGGCAACAGAGTGAGACTCCAACTCAAAAAAAAAAAATATATGTTAAACCTCTAAAAGATTAGAGTTGTCTAAAATAACATTTCGCTTCCTGCTTCGTTTTAACTCTGAACATTCCTTCAGTCTTTGGCATTAATTTATTGATGCTGAAAAGGGAGGAAGTCTTCATAAGTGGGAATGTACCTCTTTATCAGTATTATATATTGTGTCCACTACCTCAAAGTGGAGTGGTTTATTGTGTCTGTGTGGTTTGGTAGCTAGAGATCCTGGTTCTATATTGTAGTCACCTGAAGAAACTTTGAAAAAAAAAAACACTTGAGCCTTGCCTCTAGAAATTCTGATTTAGTATATATGGTCTACCTCACCCAACGGAGAAAATTTGGTGCACACCCAAGGTGTAGAACCGTTTGTGAGGACAACAAAACTAGTGTTTTAGGCCTTCTTAAATTTACTTGAAAAAAAAATCGGTTCACATCCAGGTCTCTCCTCTCTGCATCTCTGTTCTAACCTTCTTACTGAAAACTCACTGGCTTAGATGCTCTCCCTCCATCAAACTCCTATTAGGGCTACTGTCAGCATCACTTATTAGTCTGATATTTATGTACAATACACCTGTGTGTGTGTTTTTGTCTCCTCAACTGGACGATAATTCTTTATGGAGAGAGATCGTATCTTTATGTTTACCATGTGCCATTCTAGCACAGTACATTTCACTTAATAGTGACTCAATAAAAAAGGATATTTCAAAAGTGTGTATGTAGTTTAGATACTGATGCAATGTTTATAAATGCAAAAATAAAGCAATATATATTATCCATAACGAGACTATTTGTTTATATTAGTGATGGGATAGTCTAACTAAAATATAGGTAGAAAGCAAATATTCATTATGGTAGATGTAAAAATTTAGAAAATGTATGGATTTCCAAGTTTTCCTAAGGAAACAGTCCAAGGAAAAAAAACAGTCTTGAAAAATGCAACAGCATGTGGAATGTCTTCTAGGCATTATAGGAATCTTTCCAGAGTATCTCTATCTGATGGCATCCAAGATCATCAATGATTCTAATGATGAGAAATCATTACCTGATCGTAGTACACCATTGTGGGAAAGCCTAAATGCCCAATATGAAGTCAAATCTGCCTCACCAAACCTTCAGTCTTTGGTTTCAGGTTCTGCTCTTTTGAGTATCACAAAAAAATTCATCTCTCCTTTCATAAAATTCCTATTAAACAACCATAAAGCCAACTCTAGAATTGGGCAACACCTCAGTCTATTTTATTTCTGATAAACTGAGCAGAGAAGGTTGGCTTCATAGGTAAAAACATGCTAAAAAGACAGAAACAAAGCAAAAAGCAGATTGATCATTTCAAAGTTACTTTCCTTTTAAAGTGAAAGCAGAGGGAACGTCTTTATCATGCCAGCTGGCCTGTTTAGAGATTTGGCTATTATCTCTCTTCTGATTTTTTGGAAGTTCAGATAAATAACTTTGTTTTAGCTTGGCGGCACAGAACTTCAGAATGAGTAACTCCAATTTGTTTTGATCATTGGACCTAGTGCAGAAGCTAAGTACAAACCAATGGCCTCCTATAAACTTTATTTCACTTTTCCTAAATCTTTTTTTCTTTTTTTTGAGTTGGAGTCTCACTCTGTCACCCAGACTGAGTGCAGTGGCCGCTCCAGGCCACCGCAGCCTC